GAGTAACATTGGAATAGGTGCCCTATGGTCACAAGTACAGAACAAGAAAAAAAATCATCAAATACTTCAGCAGCGTACTCTCGAAACCCGAAAGGAACTACTTTGCCGCAAGATTGTTAGTGATCATCAGGGCTGTTGAACACTTCCACAAATATCTTTATGGACCTGAATTCCTGATTAGAACCTATCACGCATACCTTATATGGCTCCTTCAGAGGGTGAAGAATGGACTATGGCTCAGCTCAGAAAAGATCAAGAGAAAGACGTGAACATCGGGTGTCTGGTCAAATGGAAAGACGATGGAATGGAACGGCTTGGCTGGTCGGAAATATTATACAAATGGCCCTTTTTTAGTGCGTTATGGAGTCAGTAGGACTCCCTGGAAATCGAGCACGAGCCTGAGAGAGTCCGGATGGGAAACATATCACCAAGCAGTTGATGCTTCTGGCCATCACAACAAAGAAAGTACCTCGAGATATGCACAACGATTTCTAAAGTTAGGGAGAGATTTTAATAGGTTTGTTGTACATCATGGTCGTCAGTGATTATTTCAGAAAATGGCTTAAAGCTAATGCCATTCTGAACCAAAGAGCTACTACTATTGCAAAGATGCTGATTGCTTTAGCTTTTTATATCACTTCTGAGAAACTTTCATCAGATGACATAATAACCTGTAAAACAATTTTGATCGACCCATTTGTGAGGACAATGTTAGTTTAGCGTCGTGAGCCGTTGTTGAGATTTTATTAATATAACATCACACTATACTATTTAGTATTTACAATAAAATTATATTTGTCCTCATGTTCACTTATCAATTGAAAAATAAATTTTGAACAAATATCAAATATGCAACAAAGTAAAAAACTCGATTAACCTTATTACAAGTTCAACGCCTTGCCGTATTTTTTCATTCTGAACAATTTTAATTTGTTTTCATCAGATTTCCATGCGAAACAGAATATTCTGATTTTGAAAATTTGATTAATCTAACTACTCGGATTTTGAAGGGGAATTATGTTGATGTCTTAATTAAAATTCACTTTGAAAAGATACTTTAGTTTACAAATGATGTCATATTCACTACGTATCAGCGACTGAAACAATTACTCTTAAAATTTAATTCTTGACTAAAACTAAAAATTACTTTTCTTTTGGAAAATATTATTTCGCATTGCCATTAACTTTTTTATTATTTACATAAAATAAAACACAACGATTGTATTAGAAGGATAAAGGGGGATATTCACTCACAATTATTGCATATCAATGCACATCGCCTGTTTTTAAAAATTTCAGATCAGAAGTATCCTCATGATTTATAGGCAACTTCGACATTTATTTTCTCTCTATGTAAATTTTTGCAAATAAATTGCTTTCTGATTCAAATTCAATATTATCTTATCTAAAACATTTGCTAGCAGTTCCATAAATATTACCATAACATTAATTAATAATATTGTTGTCGCATTTACTATTTAAATAATAATTTTTCGACTTATTATTCTAGAAAATTATGCGAAAATCTTAATTAACCCAAAACACAAGTGAATGCACATTCTAAAACCCTTTATCGTTGTCAGTAGTGTTGTCCTCTTAATTTAATTATAAGCATCTAAAACACTGAATTCCATTTATCTGTATAAATTTTATGCTTTTATAAATATGCTCATAAGATTTCTTCAAGTACGGAAGTTGCTACTGCTAAAAATTCCGTGATATTTAGAGTGGTTGTCTTGCTTTTTAAAAAATGAATTTAAAAAATAGTCCTTTTAGCTGGTGCTAGATTTAGCAACTAGTATGATATCGTAATACATATAATAGATGCAGATACATCAAAATCTGCAAATTCGACATCAAATTCATTGTTTAATATATCAAAATATTTCAAAATCTTAAATGCATAACATACAGAGTTTGAATCATTATATGTGATTGCAACAGATATTTCACTGTATCAGCATCAGTGCTAAACTCCTAAATTGCAAAATAAATAAATAAATAAACTAGTATATCAAATATAATCCTTTAACAGCCAAATAGAAACCAATAAAATAACATCCAGAATCTTCAGCGTTTCTCCAAAAATTATTTCTTTCGTTGCATTAATATTAAATTTGAAGTTTCATTTTAATAAAAGTTTCAAAACAATTATCTTAAAACGGAAGGGACTGTGAACTGTTCTCTCAAAAAGTCCATAGATAATTTTTCTGAAACAAAAATCAGGTTATTCTTTAATTATCGGAATAAATTTTGTTGTTTATTTGTTTTCTTTCGTTTATAAGTATTTATCTCTTGTTGTCTGTTGTCAGTCTGTTTCTAATCTGCGTATTTTTACTTCTTATACAATATATTTCAAAGCATTCCTAAACGTCTAACCCCCGTTGAAGATTAAATACATAAGTAAATATATGTAACGAAAATAAAGTTTCATAAATTTTTCGTTTTAAAAATATATATATAACGTCTGTGACACATTACATATAAAATGTGAAAGTATCTTTAACACATATTTCTCAAATTTCCCATTTACTATTCTATTGTGATAGGAGGGGAGTGTAACTTCATTACATACGTTTCTCGAAAATTTTCTTACTACATTATTGTGACAGGAAACGTGATCTAAAAATGAAAAGAAGTTCTCTTGTAAGTTTCTATTAAGAGGTGAAATTTACTTTCAAATGAATCAACTGGTGAATAGTGAATTTATATGATATACCGTTATTCACATCTGATAAGTAGGACTACCAACATTAATAATTAAAATTATTATATGGTTTGTAAGGAAGAGTTTTGTACTAATTACTATAATTTTTATTTACTTCTTTGAGCTAACACATTATCGTGATTGTTGTTAAAAATAATTTTGTTTTATCTAAGTAGGTAACTTTTTTCCATGCTTTCTTATATTTCATCAGGGAAAGTCACGGGTAAGATATTTTAACATTATTATTATTATTATTTTATGTCTGATTAAATAATGAAAAACTGTTCTAACCCAGTAGGTATTACAAAATTATCTGTTAAAATCATTATGTTCGTAACTATACACCTGTATGTAGAACATAGATTAATTAATCCAATACCTACATAAGAAGAAATGTAAAGCCGGAATTCCACTGAGGCAACACTGAACGACATGTTGCTTGATACTTGTTGCCTAGTGTTGCCTGTTGTAGGCGTGCGACAATGTGGCATAAAATTTCAATTAATGTCGCTGTGTGTTGCTTCTATGGAAAAATTTTGTGTAGCATGCCTCAATGCCGCATGCTACATGTTGCCTCAGTGGAATTCCGGCTTAAGAATTGAAATCACTTATCTCCAGACTGCAACAATCTCCGCTCGAATATACCTACTAGTCATGTCAATTTTTTCTGTTTATATTTTTAAATACATATAAATGACGTTACTATATTTTTTACCATTTATACTTACTTTAATTCGAGTGTGTAAATTCACAGAATAGAATTGTGTACATAACAGAGTACATAAAAATTTTACCATCACAAATAATATGCATTTTAAGGAATTCGTTTTTTCTACTGGTAGTAACACCACAGGTTGGTGCTTTTGAAATATTAGTAATTTGCTGAAGGGTGAATCGATAGAAAAGGTCTCCACCTTCGTAAAATTTTATTATTAATATAATTTATTGTTATTTATGTATAACTAGAAAAAAAAAATTATCGTTTTTGTTTTTGAGGAAACACTATACATAGTTTTTCCATGACCACGAGATTATCGCTCGAACTCTATTTACCGAAACATGCGCTTGTTTTAATGTACCTTTACATTTTACAAACACTCAAAAGTACATTAGATATCAGTGTCGTATGAGAGTTATTTTGATATTGGAAGATATTGTGTGTGATAAAAATGAATTATTTGCACCGGGAACAGAACAGAGCACTCGGAAGTTGGCACATTTATTATATTTAAATATTGTAACTGACAGCAGCTACGCGTCAAGTAATTAATTTTCTTATTAGCACACAAGGTTATAACGACTAAATTAAAAAGTAATCATGAAAAACTGACGTAGCGTTCGTGTTTTAGCAGACAGCAGAGGATTAGTGCCCAGCGAGATTATCAGCAGTAAAGTCAAACATTAAGTTTATATGTGTGCTTACAAAAACATCCCAGAAACATATCGTTAAACAAAGAAAATAAACACCAAAAATGATAATGACAGACCGATGCTCACAACTCTAATATTTACATTATAAAAAAAGTATATCGGTATATGTGTGAAAAAGTTTGCTGTTGTTTTTTAATAGGAGTATTATTTAATATTTTTACGTTAACTTATTAACTTAAATCTTAAAAAATAGCACAAAACGCACGAAACGTTCATGGAACCCTTGATGATAATATCTTAGACAGAAAAGGATCCAAGTGTCCTATTATGGCGGCAGTTTTCTTGCAAACGTCGTTGAGATTCAAAAGATGGGTATCCTTTCAGACTTCAATTCAAAGTGAGTCTTAGGAAGAGTTTTATTCATTAGAAATAAATTTGCCATATGTACAGAATACAGAATAATAACTAATGACAATTTGAAAATTTAACTTAAGCCTAGAGACACAACACAACCTGTTGTAGCTTTGTAATTAGATTAATATACCTACATATACATAATTCAGTAAAAACAAACAAATGACTAAGAAAGTTATATAAAAAAATAAAAGTAATAATTCCACAAATTGTAGATATAAATATGACTTAAATATTGATTGATTGCTACATTTATCAATCTACTCTCCACAATAAGAAAATTAACAATTAATAAAATATAAGCAGTTATTTGTTTGCTTATTAATTGCTCCTTCAAAACTGTGTACGAATACAATATTCATCCTACCAGTAGACAACTAAGTATAATAATTAACTCTTCATAAAATTCTTCTATCCAATATTTCATATATCGATGATATTGAACGTTAATGCTTTTCTTTTGTTAATTTTTGTGGTCGCTTTTAATTGCCACATGATATTCATGCAGATTAGACGAAAGTCTTGTTATTACGAAGTCGATATCTGGTAATTTGAAGCACGAGGAAACGACGGCGTCGGGAGATTCGATTTCAGTGGAATCTCGTCAACAGCCCGTCACCGAGGATCATCAACCAAAATCACCTAACCCCAACCCTTCTTTTATTAAAACAATGGAACATTCGAAATTCTCCGCCCTTGTGAAAGCCCAGGAAGACGCGTCAAATACAAGGTAAGAGAATTTTGTTGGTGTTTTTGTAAACTGAGCTAGTTATTTTGTTGTCAATTTTAAGTTAGGTGTCGTTTTTAACGTTGTATTGAGGAATTTCCTCTCTTTGTACCTACATGTTTCAGTTAAGTATGATATGTTATTATTAAATAGTTTCGAATCTGTTGAATGTTTGACATTTTGAAATTTTGTATTTACTTTATCGTGTATGTATAATGTACATTTTGTATCAAGGGGCTGAAAGCTGCTTTTTTTATCTTGATACTAGAGTGTCATTTTCAGAATTCCAGATATACCTAGTCTATTTTACTTACACCCTGTTATAATTTTATTCATGTTTTTCAAGTAGCGTTATAATTATTATCAGTCAAATCAAATGTGATTGCTATCCGTATATTTAATAATGAATATTTTTATGACAATTTGTGTAAGACTCTGGCAATCAATGATTGTGATATTATGAACGAAATTCTAATATTCTACAACAGTTTGGGACTCTTGGTATTCACAAAAAGTGCGACATTTTTTGTTGATTGTTCTATTCAAACTGTGGAACATTATAGTTAGTATGCAGTTCCAACTGTTAGAACTCCCACGCTAATTAGAAAGTATCTTGTCTTTACTTGCTTTACTTCGCGAGCCCAAGCTAGGGGAATACTATAATAGGGTCCGTTTGGTCAATAGCTAATTTCGTGTTTCCACTGCCTTTCATAACTCGTAGCTAGAAGATTAAAAAAAAAATAGATCTCAGGTTTCAGTCTGTCTGTGGTCTGTTGGTGATGTTTATTAAGCAACTGATCTCCGAAACTAGTTACTGCACGTATTACTGTGAAATTCTAGGTGTGTTTTAAGAATACCAAAATTGGTTTTATCATTTCCATCAAAGTTTGTCCTATTTAAATTTTATTAAATAATATACTTACTTCTATTTGTTATTTATTGACCCGCCTTTATTTTCTGCCTTACAAGTAGATTTAAAAAATAAATAAAGTACAACATTTCAAAATTTAACTTAGAAACTATACAACCGACTTCTCTGCAATGTCGTGAACCATTTAATGTTAGTGTAGGTAAGGTTTATTAAAACCGCTAACTAAACTTTATCTGTTAAACCCGTCCAAAAATTTGGTGACGTCAACTTGAAATTTTCACTCTAAAAATGTGCACAGCACCTACTATGTGCTTACACTTGTAATTTATTAGTGCACCGATGTTTTTTTACGATTGCTTATACAGGATGTTAAAGAAATTAATAAATGAAGCAATTTAGGTTTTTCATTAAATAGAAAACAGTTTATCTCATTTTCCTGAAATTCTGAGATTAAAGTGCAAAGTTTAGTGTATCTAGGAAACTGAATCGATTCGATTATGTTTCAGGAGCAAATAACTTTACACCAGTTTTTCAGTATACACGGAAATTGAACACGCACCTACCGATACACTGGATATTAGGCACAGATTAGACACATACATCAACTTTAGTTTTTCTGTGCTTACATTTCTCCATTTCATTTATTGACGAAATTACCCTACCTTCTCGAAAAGATGAGAATACTCTTTATTTAAAATACCTTTTTTTTTAAGAATGTGAAACCTTCTCGAGTGTCTTTTTTTAAGCATATTTAGATCTTCTCGGGGCTCCCAACTGTCTTTTTTTATGAAGGTGAAACCTTTATTTTTCTATTAAACTGTGACTAGTATATTGTTTTACTCGATAGAGGTTATCACGAAAAAGTAAAATTCCGGAAAATTAAATTTTATAATTTTTCAGAGAAGCAGTATTTGTTGGACTGCACTTCAGAAGCGAGGGAAGTTCTGTCGAAATAACTTTCGACCATTTTTTTTTAATTTAAAAAAGCAAATATACCTCCAAAAAGAATGGTATACATACATTTTCAGCAATGGGAAAGCAAACAGCTTCATCGTTAAAGCTTCCAAATGCTGAAATGTACACGGGCACACATTTCTCAGATCATCAACTACCCTCCTCACAGATACTGGTGGAAATACCACCATTCGAAGGAGATATGGTGGACGAAAATCGACATTAATAGGCGAAGGATATGCTGACGATTCCAAGAGCAATAAAATCTATTGGTCATAAAATTACGGCATCAATGTAACAAAGTAGTGCACGCTTCAACACTTCAGTATCAAATAAATTTATAATATGTCAACAATGGATATTAATTTGACTAATTATTCTAATTTTACCATTAATCTTCCTCATAATAGTTTCGCCAGAGAAAATGAAATTATACAAACAAGTGTACCCGAAACCTGCGTCAATGGGAGTAGAAATAAATAATATTCTACCTATGTTAACGTACCTCATCTTTGTGACTAACCGCCAAACATATCCGCGTGAATGACTAAATTAATAAGTTTTAGTAAATTATTTGCTCTGACAGAACTCTTGATTTCTAGTTCGTGTTAATTATCTCTCAATATATACTTGTGTACTTAGATGTTACAATTTTGTGCCGACAATCAATAGGGTGTGTAAACTGCTAATAGAATCATTTAAGTAATCACAAAATTGTTTTTGTTCTTTGTTTGTTCGTTACACTTCGACGTATTATGAAATTCCTTGAAATATTTACTAATTTTTTAATAACCACCTGCTTCTTATCTACAGCATTCTTCTGTGTTGTTGCGTGTGTTGTTACCAATTTTTTCAATGTTATTTCTTACAAGTTGTCGACTAACACGTGAAAAATATGTTTCCAAATAATTATAATTGTCGAACATCCAGTTAGAAGCGGGATTAATGTGGATAAAAAAAGCAGAAATAAGCTTCAGGCAATACATAATTAAACAAGCAAAACTTTTTAACTTTCCTTGTTAGTATATTAACTTTGATACTGTAAAGCAACAGTATCAAAGTTTTTACATAAATATGAGTTTGCGACATTAAAGATATTCGATATTTTACAATTTCCTTATTACGGTATTTTCACTTTTTTTTGTATTTTTTAATTGGACACTAAGGAGTACGAATACTGTGTGAAATCAGACTCAACGAATATAGAAATTGTGAATATAAAAACTAAAGTCTAATTACCATGATAACCGTAAAAGATAAACTTTGTTTAATAATCGAGTTAATTTAACCACTTAGGAAAATTAGCAGTCGCAGGATTGTAATGTTTTTGAGTTTCCCTTAAAAACAACTTTATTAATTTTTGTGAAATTACATATATAGCATTGTAGCTAATGCATATTCACGTATACAGTGTTATATTAATTGTAATATAAAATTCAAAGGAAATTTTAATAAACTAAATTTTTCAACAAATATTTCTTTGATATAAAATAATTACGATTTTTAAAAGATAGGTGAAAGAGTGGATTGTATAATTTTGCTAGATCAGTTGGATATATATAACCTCCCTGTACGTAACTATTTCATTGCCTGAACTCAGCGGGAACAATCGTGATAGTAATTATACCACTCATGACATCACGTTGCTGTTAAATTAAATCTCCTATTTTCTCATGATGGTGTCGCAAAAAATATTTTTTCTTAAAACAGTAATTCTTAACTAACTCACATTAATTATTTCAGAAAACGTTTATTGAGCGAGCTGCTCTTTTAATTTATCATAGTTTTTATCCATTCTCAATAAATCAGCTATTATACGCTTTCAGACACGATTATCACATGGTAAAAAGTACATCAAGTGACACTCCAATGTCTCTAGGAACTCCGGTATCGGCAACTGAAGTCGCGGCGGCATTGTTGGGAGCATCAACCAGTTCATTGTGCGGATTTCGAAGACATCGCAAAATCGAAGAGGAAGATCTGAGTACACCGTATAATCATTACAAATGTCTTAGTCCGAAACATCGAATTGGGAAATTGCTTCGAAGACAGTTTAGCCTGGACAGAACTGAAGAAATTAGGTCAGAAGAATCTATGCAAATCGTAAGTAATCAACGGAGTAATAGACTAGTAAAGCTTCGCCTCATATATGATTTGACGCTTTTGCACACTGTAATAATTTTGGAAGGAAAATTTCATCTGTATGCTTTATAAAAATTGTATTGTCGGAATTTTAATATTATAAACTTCTCTGTTGTTTTAACAAAATTGACATTTTTTCAAACTATAGGTCCTACTTGTACTGCACGAATTAGAGTAAAATTATTAAATTTAGCGGTATGTACAGAACTTCTTAATTATAATTTTATAAACATATTTCCCTTGTTTACAAAACAGTTTATCTTCTTCTGCAACCCTAATTTAATATGAACACAGAAACTTCACATAAAACCTTTTCCAGGAGGCGTATTTTACAACCACCTAATAACACAGAGAGAATACTGATGTACACAGACTTGCAGATAAGTGAATAATTCGCGTAATTACTTCATTAACATGAGAACGAAACATTTAACTTCTAAACATGTTTAACCTCACAGAAACTGCCTTGTGTTTGCAGTATCCCAACTCATGTGTTCCGTCTCATTTCCTACATATTGATTAAATTAGATTAATTTTTGTAAATTTTGGTTACAGTTGACGTCTGCAAATTTTATCACTTTTCCATATTCATTAAATGTATCTTAAAGTAGATATCTAAAGTATGCTTGAAATTCCACAGCAATCGGTACAATCGTCTAAAAAGATTTTCTTCAAAATTTTGCTCATAAGCTGTTGACAGAGACATAATAATAGACAAAGGTAAACAAGAATTTACATTTTTGTATTTATTAATAAATAAATAATAATAAACTAGTATTATTATGAGCTGTGAAACGTCAGGAGACACGACATTCGTCGGCTTTGAAAGTAATAACGAAGTAAATGAAAGAGCTAATTATTCGAGCGTTGAATATGATAATAACAACTATACTCTGCAATTTAAAAGATTGATAATATGGAAGTACGGCAAAAGCATTTGCTAAGGTTTATGAATATGATGGAGTTTTATCCTCGCTGCTATGTTGTTAATTATTATATTGTGTTAGCTGTAAACAAACATAATGATAAATGCAATTTTGATGTTAGTCGAAAGTCTTATTCCGGGAAAGAAACCTATTTACAAAAAGTATATAATAATAATATTGAACCAGTTGAAATACATCATTTAGAAACAATGATAATGACAATTTCTCAATTCGTATATCGTTTTTGATTCTCTTCTAGTTTATTTTTTATAAATTGTGACAGCGATGTACATAAAAAATCAATTAAATCTATTAATGTTCATGTTATGATTATTTTCGTTTTTCTTGATATTTTCTTGTTCAGAATTGCTCAGATGTGTTGTTAAAAAATAATAATTTATTAATTTTTCAATGGATAAAATTTGTTTTTATAATTTTTTTTTATAATTTATTTTATATATTGATCTGAGTTCCAATGTTCGTTAAGTTTAACATTAATTTTAAAGCAACTCCCTATTTCAAAAGTTCAAATATGTGTGAAACGTTAAAACTCAGGTACTGTTAATCATTAATGCAAAAATAAATTAAAAACAAATAACGTAAAACTTTAATCCAGGTAGCATCTTCACATCACGTATTTGCATTCTGCCTTCGCTTTGCTGGAGTAACTGATTTATTAAACCAAGCAACAGTAACATGATAACTAAAAGTTATTTTCGACAAGTACGTCTTCGATGAAAACTTTTCGGCACCCAACTCATCCCGAACTAACTAAACTTTTCAAGTACCTGTTACTTTCCAGTTACCCTAAAGCACTCCGATTTAACACCGACTCCAACACTGGGTCGACTGTTTTTAAATGAAATTCAAGCATGTTCATGTTTTTTACTTTAAACGAGCTAAATTCTGAAAAAACGATATTGGGTATGTAAAATTATTATTTGTTATTCGTTATATGTTTTCAAGAAGATTCTATTGAATTAGTCAATTACTAAACAATATCATATGAGCGCAGGTTAGTATCTAATAAGTTTTATAAATGCGGTCAGTCGAAGAATAGTATCATAGTAGTCATAGTTAAGCAATAGCAGTTAGGCATGTTGAATTTTTTTTTGAAAATGTGTTTTTTGCAATATTAACTAAGTACATGACATTGTAATAGGAAAGTTTTATCATTTTGCACAAATTAATAATTGGAATTATGAAAACAATGTTTTTCATACAGTGAAATGAAAATGACGAAATTGAAACCAGAAAATTTACATAACTAAATGAACTTTCGAATATAGGAGTTAATTTACACGTTTTAAAAATACATCAATCACTCACACGTTATGATTGTTCTGTAATGTAGCCTTCCGTTTGCTGAAAACTTTTTCAGCAATGACTGACAACTGTAATTATAACAATAATATGGGCTGAAGGATTTTTTTCAAACAAAAACCAATTTACATTTTAAATGATGAGTAGCTTCATTTAAAGATCTAAATACTTGTTCCAATATTCATGCTTACCCATATCTACTTATAATTCATTTTTATGTTCACAATATTTTACAATAATTTAATTGTTCTTGTAAGATCAAAAACCTATTCATTAAAAAGCAATTATTTCTAAAAAATATTCAGTTGTGTTTTATGTAACTTACCTAGAAAATATGTTCCTAATTTCAAACGGATTTAGGGGCATGCATAAATAGCAATTGTTTTGCATTAGGAGATCTCTTTATAAATTATGTTATAAGCAGGGCGCGAAAATCGCGCAGTAATCCAATCTGCCTTGAATTAGAAATCTCAAGGCCAGGCGTTTATGTTGACAATTATTTATTGTTCTGAAAATTTGCGTTATAGGTTATCACCGTCCTTGAAAAAAACTTATAACAATGGCGAAACCAAAGACTGCCTACAAACCACCAAAGCACTATCTTATGTTTTATATTTTTACTGAAAAAAACTAAAGTGATAATGCTTGTGCAATCGGCGTGGTAAATTTTGTGCATGAGCTCGCTTAGTTAGGTTGACTAATGTACTGGCGGTTCTTGCAATATTTGCACCTTTATTCAAATGGATTTGCAAATTAATTCTGCAGTGAAGGATGAAAATCTAAGTTTGTATTAATCTTTTCATTTGTCAAAACAAAGCGCCTTAAGAAAAGATAAAAAGTAAATATAAGTTTCCTGCATACCTAACAGTATGAATATTAGGAAGAAATGTATACATATCTACGTATATGCGTTTAATATTAAGTTTTATCTAACGGCCTGCGTCGAATTTAATTTAACCAAATTTAGACTATGAACTCAAAGTGCGGCAATTTGAAAAGAATATCCTTCGTGTCGAAAAACTGCTGTTTTCAATTGAAGTTTTATGTTTCAGGGGAGCCCTAGGCTATTTAAACAAAATTCAGCTGGAGCTGCAGATCTAGAGAAAATAGAAGAAGTTCCGATGAAAATTCCAGTTTCGCCTGCACCGAGTACAACTCCTTTGCAGTGCAGTTTGTCGATATCAGTAGATTCTCTAATTCACTAGGGAGAGAAAAAATAGAATCAACTTGACGTAACAATACAATAATATATTAGACAATCACGTCGGTCTTTGTTTTGATTAGACTAGTTTATTTGAAATTTCTAATTCCGTAATATAATAATTGATTACCGTAGAAAATGACAAACCATCATACGTTATTCGTTAATGTTATAATGTTATGAACATTAGATTTCAGTTGACTACCAGATATTGTGTGCGACATCAAGTTTAGTTTTACATGTATACTGTTATTACTGTTTCTCGTTCGAATGACAAAATTTAATTTAAAAAAATTAAAACATTTAAAAACAAATTTTTAAGACAATAATTTTCAGTCAATTGTTTAAACTTTTCTGTCACAAGCACAATCTCGCTCAACGTTAAAGATAGGTACAGACTTACTAGTTTAATAATAACGGTAACAATAATTATTTCTACTTTTGACTTTTCAGAGAACCAGAATTTCAGAGCAATAAATCTGCCAAAAGTAAAGCCTTCTGACATTCTTTGTTGCTTAAGTCATCTTAAGATTTAATTTTTAATTTTGGCATCTTAAGCTTTGAGTGAGAAATTGCTTGTATGTACAACGCACTCGTTAAAATCAAATGCAGTAAACTCGAATAAAAAACAAAAGAGCGGTAATCACAGATGCATATTTTTTTTATTTGATGTAGTGTTGTAGGTATACCTACCTATAGCAATAATGTGTGTTATCAATACTCAGTACCTGTCATCTTCAAAAAAATAATTTAGTGTGGTCATAAATTTCCAAAACTAGCTAGTGAACAATTTACTCCTCAAATGTTGTGTTCAAAAAAATAAAAAAAGAACGATAAAAACACGATCAGAGACAGCCATGATAATTTTTCTTCAATCTCTACTACATTTTAAACACACACTTTCAAATTAAAAGTAATGTGACAAGACGAACATTCCATCAAAGACAAATCTTCAAAAATACATGGCTGTCTTCGATTGTGTTTTTATTGGTCTCTTGGTATAATACTAGAAATCTGCATTTCTTTGTAATTGGAATTTTAAGATTGGAACGCAGCATTTAAGATTCTTAATTACAAAATGTCATGTGTTTTTATTTGCTGACCTAAAACATGATTGCAAAATACTGAAACTTTTCATATTCGTGCTGTTTTTCAGCTCGTTTGCGGTGTATCTAACTGATAAATAATATTTCATATACCTACATGTATGATACCTACTTATACACTACGTGTCTTTCTTTCTGTTGTATGAACACTCGTTACGTTTTAGGTATATAATATAGAATTTAAGATGAAAATGAAACGCACATTTCTTGACTTAGCTATACCTACATATACCCTTTAAAATGCGATCATCAAATATCTGTGAATGAATGTATTATTTCAAAAAACTAGGTAATAGAGATTTAGTTAATGTATTATTTTTTTCTAGTTTGAATGTGAATGTTTTTTTATACCTAGTCATATTTATATCAAACATAATTGTAATTAATATAAGTAGACAATCCACTCAAAAAGTCTTAAATTAGACTTAAAATCAATGTTGATATGTTTAAATATATATGAATGTTGTTAATACGTATTAATGAATAGATTTATCAACATCTTTTCTATTCGAATTCATTCACATAATTTTATCTGTAAATAAACACAATAAAAAATTAAAGACTGCTCAGCATATATTTTTTTAATGTGATACCCTTGCCATATTTTAACTAGCAAATAATATATTGCGTAATGTATATAGACCTACAAAGTTAAGACGAGAGGCGAAATGTTCGTACGGCATAAGACCTCCACCTAATAGTATTTTTTTAAATAGAAGTACTTATTTTATGAAAGCTCATTTTAAAGCTCTTTTAATAGCAATCTGACAATGTTACTTTCTCAGTCAGAATTATTTTATTATCAGACAAAAAAAAAATATAATGAATGAACCATTGAAATTATTGTCAATGTTCTCTATTTAACGTAAACATAACGGTTGATAATGATAGATCCTATTCATATTCTCTGACATTCTTGAACGATTCATTTACGCAATTGTTACAACAGTGATAATACTTGGTAATTTCTCTATCATAATTGTTGTAAGATTATGTATTCGACACCTAAACTTACATCATTTGGGGCAAAATTTGCAATTAAAAGGATCTATAATCCCTTGAAGTATTTGTAAATAAACATGTGCAGTCAAATTTTCTTTATAAAACAAACAACTCTGTCGATTAAAACACATTCAAAGAGAAAGAATAATCATCTCATCAATCATCGCTAAAAGCAAAATCAAAAACTACAGTCCATTCAGCTTCCTTTATACAGGGTTTCTATAAATAATTATCAGGTGTCAGTAGGTCATGTAAAAGTGCCGCCACTCTCTCTTGAACTATACTAAATGCCCAAGGACGCATGACAAATACCACACGCATCTGTATAACTGGTTGCCTAAATGTTTCATATACTTTAGAAAAGTATATCAAAAGTCTATACTAGGGACTCTAGCTGGCAATATTGTGAAGGGACTGTAAGGAAAATCAATTTCTGATCAAATATATTAATTGAAATACGGTTGGCATAAATGTTTTTCATTTGAAATGTAATGAAAAAAGTAAAATCGTCGTCTTCGTTGATTCGCTAGTTCCGAGTCTCTCCAACAGGGGCGGCTTGTCCTATGAGGCAGGTGAGGCAGTGCCTCACCAATGAATTTTACGCCTTATTAGGATTTTTATTATTTTATACGGACACATTTCGGCCAATAATTTGTGTCTTTTTTCTAAAATTTTAAAAATAAATATAGAAAATTATATTCTTATTTTTATCTCGGTAGGTACTCGTTGCTCCCTTAATTAAACAGCGCGCTTAAACACTCGGCACAACATGTATTTTGTGACGCGAATGAGGCCGACTCGAAGCTTGCCTCTACAGCATATATAGAAATCATGTCGTTAATAGGCAAGCAACCTGCAATACACTTATAAGCGGTATGAGTTGAAAAAAGACAAAATTGAGGCTAGCCTCATTTCCGTGCTTGCAAAAGAGATGGACAACTATATTATTTGCGCGCGGGGAACGTGCGATTGCAATGCAGTCTGCATTCGCAGGAGTATTCAAAATTAGGCCGTTGATTGTTTTGCCACAAATCTGTGTGTGTATAAATTGATTCAAAGTTTCGGTAACAGAATTTTGTCTTAAAAGTACCTACGTTTGCGTGGGTCGCGTTAGTGCTTTGTGCTTGTCATAATTTGATTTCGGTAATCGTTATTTAAGATTACGAGTAAATCGGAATTTTTCTCTACTAACGTTAAATGACAATAGCAGTTCTGTTTTTTCTACTTTCACGTATGATGATAAATTGTATGTAGTTAAGGAATTAAAACCGCCGGTTCCTGATTTGAGTAAATCGTTAATTGATCCATAAAAAAAAATTTAAAATAAATCCGTATTTATATTTTATATTTTTTTCATTTTGTTTTTTGTTATAAATCAAATTAGCTTTATTTTATGTTGTATTTGATCTTTTTCGATATGTTTCCTTTAAAGTTTATTTTAATTTTGTTTTTTGTTAGAAGTTATATTAGTTTTTTCTGACCACGCTTCCCTTTCCTTTTGTCCTGTCATTCTCATCCTTTCCTTGCAAGACCTCCTTACACCTTCACGTTGGTTCTTTGTGGACAGTTAAATGAGTTTACAAATTTGTTTATTTGACTAAATAGAAAATATTTAAGTAAACTTGATTTATTTATATTTTAGAGCGTTTTGTGCTGTGCCTCATCAATTTTTCAAGTCATGAGCCGCCCCTGCTCTCCAATTCCTTAAAATTGGCATATGATGGCGTAAACGCCATCATATGATGTAAACATCGAAAGGGAAGAAATGTGAACTGCGCGCTGAATGCCTGACTATTTGACACAATTTGACATAATGAATAACCACCGATAATGTACCGACGCGACGTAGTAATGTGGTGTATACTGTTTACAGCTTGTAAATGGGATGATTTTTTAATATGACATTGTTCCTTTTGAGAAGACGGGCGATCGTAACCCATTGGAGAGACTTTAATAACGAATCAACAAAGACGACAAGTAAAGTAATAGTAAAAGTCCACAGCTAAAAATTAAAAGTCGGAGATTTAAAGGCACAGCAGCACCTTAATTTTAAGTATTTCGCAAACGAAAGCAACGTGTGTGGTTTTTGTAAAGGTTAGGTTGTTTATTCATAATTCTCGCTCTTCAGGCACACAAGGTAGTTTGAACACTGAATAAAAACCCCCGACATTTGTTCAATCAGCCTTCGACGGCATAGTTTTTTGTCATTTTTAAATGCGAAATTGTATTTGGCACTTTAACTACTTGCACCAAACTGACAATGACAAATGTAAGTTTTCCTTGTACCAACTATCCACGACTGATTTTAAAAACTCGACAATATGGTGTGATTTTGAGTTCTAATGCGATGTTACCATCGCGAATTATTCCAAGCCCGATAATTGATGTAGCCCCAGTCTGACTGCTGTATTATGGGTTGCATATAACAATACTCTAGCTAATTTACTTCGTCTTCTAAATTTTTAATGTTAGATGCTGCACAGATCCATAAACTCCAGCAAGAAAATGCTTATCAGGTGTAGGTACTGCTGTACAAATATTAGATTACATTCAGTTTTCTACTGCTTTGGAATTTATTTTCTCTATGATTCCTGTGTTTTTTTGTGGTTAGCGGTTTCTGGTGATATGCTTTCAGAAAAATTTTAATTAGGTAGTTAATGTTAAATGTTACTGCATTTCAAAAAATAATAAATTTTCGCAATTCGAAACAGAATTTTTACATTAGCAATAAAATAAAACAAAACACATCATAATTAATTCTACAGGAATCAAATTTGTTGAAATTTAAAAACTTTAGGGATGCTACTAAAACTAGTTCTGCATCTTGAGGTAACTAAAGGCAAAATTGAAATTTTATTTCTTCATTAAGTTTAGAATTTTTACATACGAAAACACTATCGTTATTTTCCGTTTTCATTAAATTTCCAAATCCACCAGTGATCTGGAAACCAAAACTGATACCTGATATCCTTACGGATAATACGACTAAATAAACATGTATGACATAACTAATAACACTAGAAGACTTTTTCTTTAACATCGTCCTGTCCTCGTGAGTTTCGCGTAACTACCGATGATTTATCTACCTGTCTTTTCTGATCTGCTTGTTATATCAACACCATCGAAATGTTCGAAAAACTTACGAACTAAGATTAGAGAAGTGTTCCTTCCAAATCGAATTTTCGTCAGCAGGCACTCGTTATCAAAAACTGTCATCGAATCTACAACCAAACTCCCTTTCAAGAAAGTATACAATTAGTTAGCAACCCCACTTATTAATTCAGTTAATAATTTTATCATTTGCTGAATTCTACTCCTACTATGTAATGGGCAATAAGAGGGTTCGCCCTCTACCAGCAATTTTATTCAAATAAATCAAATAAATAAATGTGACATGTTCCTAACACAACTTTTTGAACATTTGCAATAAATTACTGATTCGTTTAAACGTAAAAATTTCGAGTTCCTCAGCACAACTGACCTTCTGTGAAGATTTAGCATTTGGTATTTTCATGTCCATTGATAACTATGTACCCACTTACAAGCATTTGTAAATTTTGTTTTACTGTATTTGTGTCAAACTGTTTATCTTTGGGACCGCAATGTCAGGAAAAAAGTTTCATTCATTATCAGCATCACTTACGCCTCAAATACTATGATATCTTTTCCAATGCTCAATAATAATATTACTGTGGACTGTACTTTATTGACTCTGTTTAGTTCAGGCGCGGATACAGGATTTCGTTTAGGGGGGGGCAATTTTTGTGCGATTTTACCTATCTCCCAGAAATTCGTTCTAAACAAAAAAATTTACTCCTATAAAATAAAATTTTAGCTAGTATACTCTTTTTCACATAACATGGGTGACATTTGGTTGTTTTCATTACACGTATAGTGTACAGTAGAACCTCGATAATCCGAATTAATTGGGAAAAAGGTGTGTTCGGATTAACGATTTGTTCGGATCAGCGATTTTCCCAAAAATCTGAAAGGGAATTGAATAACAACTTTATACACAGTTGAAAACAAACTTCAAGAAATAACCCTTAATTTTATTAAACAAAATTAAAGAATTCTTAAGCAACAATGGATAATAGATACATTTAAAAAAATATTACTCCGTGACCATAAACACGCTATCTTTTTAGAATCAACACGTCGGGATCTATACCCTGAATTTTTTCAGAATTTTTAGATGAATTTTTCAAAAATGAAATTTTCCATTATGGATTACCTCCATTATGCAAATTGCGACCCATTCTCGATGATTTTCGAAATTTAACTAAATACATTTTCTTGTAGATTTTGGGCCTCAAAAGTCACTTCTGGCTTCATTTCTTCGATAACTTAAACCATTTTTCCAGATTCGTCCAGTTGAAGTATCGTAATTGTAAAAATTTCGAAGAATTCGAATTTTACACCGAATTTTCCGAAAATATTGCTCGGTTGCCATTAAATGCTATATTTTTGGAATCAGCACGTCGGGATGTACATATATCCCTGAATTTTTTCAGAATGTTTAGGAAACTTTTTCAAAAATGAAATTTTACTCATGCAAATTTCTATCCATTTTCGATGATTTTCGAAATTTAACTAAATACTTTTTCTTGTAGATTTCGGGCCCCATTTCTTCGATAACTTCAACTTTTTTTCCAGAATTAGTTAATTAATTCAGTGCATTGAAATATCGCAATTTTTAAAAATTTCAAAATATTCAATACAACACGTACAGAAAGATTTTGCGTCATTTTTGCAAGTAGGTGCATTTTTTCAAGTCCAGTTCGGATTGCAGAGTTTGTGTTCGGATTAAAAAGATATCGACTTCAAATAGCCTCTGTTCGGATTACTGGATGTTCGGATAATCGTGAATTCGGATTATAGAGGTTGTACTGTGTTTACAAAGTGAAATGCGATTTCAAAATTTTGAAATTGGTCAAAATAAAGTACCTCGGTCGTGTGTCAGGGGGGGGCAATTGCACCCATTGCCCCCCCCCTGGATCCGCGCCTGGTTTAGTTTGCACTTGCTCCCTAGCGAATATTTTTTGAGTTATGTCTCGAAGGGCCAGTTTATACAATATTTTACTTGGGATTAAGTTAATCACGCATTTAACGAGGCATTTAGCGACGTATGACTGGCGTAGAGTCTGTCACGTTGTATTTTAACGCCGTGTTAGAAATTTCGTTGCAATCGAATATTTAATTGAGTTTCTATAAATCAGGTTTTTAGTTTTTTAAATTTATTTTACAACTTCAAATATTGTGTTAAGATGGGGTATACGCCATTTTCTAAAGTCCAAGTAATTTTTTTTACAATCTGTTTTTTTCGACTTTCTTTAAATTGTAATAATTTGGAGGCTAAAATTAACAAATCATAAATCGTAACTGCTGAAGGAAAATTTGCTTTTTCATAGCAGTTAAAAAGAGCATTAAATCTATGCAAGGTAATCATTACTGGGTGTCACCTTATCAAATATTAAAAAGACACTCGGCTTGAGTGTTGATTATTGTTGTAATAACGAGTGGCGTCAAAGGCCACGTGTAGGGGGTGACCTGTTCAGCCAACGTTTGAATAAAAACACTTCTAATGGTTTACCTGTCAACTATCAGTCAAACGAGCACCCTATAAAACCAGCGAAATAGTGGCTTAACAATCAGATCGTCTGAAATACTGGAAGCGATAAGTGTTTAGAAATTATTATTTGAATATTATTGACATGGGTAGTATACAAACATTTCTTTCAAGAATAATTGTCAGAAATTTGAGATTTTGCTAAAACTACAAAAGAATGAATTTCATTGTCTAATTATAATATTTTAAAATAGGTCGTACTTTACCTACTCCAGTGCCCTGTCGAGTTTGTGGAGACAGATCGTTTGGAAAACATTACGGTGTTTATTGCTGCGATGGATGTTCGTGTTTTTTTAAAAGAAGTGTTAGAAGAAACATCATCTACACCTGCATTTGTAAGTTTTTCTTGATTTTCTAAATATTTGCCTGTGAAATTAATAATAATATTTATGTGATCGGAAAGAACGAACATAAAATTGTTTCAAATACAAAAATTTGAGAGAAATTATAATTATCGATAAGACCATTTTTATTTTCTGTGTAGTATCAATATGTTAATATTTATTAAATATAACGCCCACAATCTTTTTCAAAATGATTAATTTTAACTAAAAATTGGTTGCTGTATTTTTTCAAAATTAATTTAAAAAAAATATTGTGTTTACTGCATCTCGAAATAGTTTACGGGAATTTATATATTTTTTACACAATATAAAATATGTATTATAAATAAAAATTTACAGCTTTTAAAAATTGAAATTTATTCATTAAAATTGTAACTTTCATATATGATTTGCTGCAGATTGTACGTGTCCGATTTCTAAAAAATTCGATTTTTTTTTAAATAAAGGAAAAATTTATTTTTTAAATACCGTTTTCTAAAAAGTGTTGATATAATATTGAACTTTCCTTGCAATTAATCAAAACAAATCGCTAGTTGAAATTTTGGAGTGCATTTTCATTTTGTTTGGATTTAGTATATATTTTCGCACTTGTCACAATTCAGCCTAAGTAAAATCTAACAGAAATTAATCACTGTGAACTTTGAAATAATCTACTGTAAACCTTATAATCGTTTACGTCAAAAAAATCTAATCATTTAATAATTAAGAAACAAGATAGGAAGGAGCCTTTACTCAAACGTTATGCGAGACTATTTGTAAATAAAGGGTGTCTAATTAAAAATCTGGTCAAGAGGGCTGCCTTCTTTCTATTTTATTGTTTTTTTCTGTTTGTCATCGTGTTCCCGACAGTTGTTATGTCGATATCAAACTCAGTTTAAAGGTTATTATTAATTAGCAGTAGTTGATCTGATGACTTGTCAAAATTAAATTAAGGTATTTTGACATTTTGTGTCAAAGTTAGAAACATGGCGTTATAATAATAATAATAATTAGTCTGCATTTCGAAACAAGGCGGTTAGATGGTAGAGTTCGTCCGACGAAAGAATGATGTGGTGAGTCATCACAGGCTGCACACAAGAGTAGGTGGGAAAAGCCGCAAAGCCGCCACTGCACTGGCGTAGATATATTTTGTTGTTTAAGGATCTTGGTGTACACGACAAAGAAGAAACGGTAGCAGTAAGGAGATTTATCCAGATTTTCTAATTTAGTATTTCTACATTTAGATAACAAAAAAATTTAAAAATCGAAGGTTATTTCGTCAGAACTTCCCTCACCCGTGAAGTACAAAAAAAGATATCCATCTTTTCCGAAAAATTTTAAAATTTGATTTTGTGAATTTCGTTTTCTGATGAGAAAATAAAATAAAGATATGCATGTAATGATAAAATAAATGCAAAGAAGCGTCTACGGATGTGTTTCAAATGAGTTTATCCTTTACAAAATTTTGTGATGACGTCATTAATATTTTTTCAATGACATGGATATCAATTTGGATAGGTGTAGTGTAATACTAATAATAACAGTATTGTATTCCCAAGTTTTCGTAAAAATGGAGTGACCCGTTTCTGATCTAATCAAAAAAATAAATTGACATATTGATTTATTTCTTTGAGTCACACTATATAAGCAATTATAGAAAATATGAATGGAATGATAAATCACAAGTATAAAAAACATCTGCAAGATTTCAAAGCATTCGGTTTTGCAGTTCCTGATTTAATAAATAAAATTTCTTGACATATTGATTAATCTTTTTGAGTCACACTTTTATAAAGTCCAGCAAAAGATAAATGCAATTTATGAGTATTGTCGCTTTCGAAGCTGTACCCTGTGTAAAACTATCAATCAAAATTAGTCGCTACCCTTGTATCTTTCCAGGACCGTATTTGTTTTTTAGTAACTGCATTCCTAATGCGTAATGATTTTATTGCAGGTTGTGGTCTAAAGTACAAAATACCCCTCATAAAATAATTGACAGCGTTTGCATTTATCTTTTACTGAACTTTAAGCAATTCTAGAAAGTATGAATGGAATGATAAATCACAAATACAGATTCATCATATCTTGCACATTTTCGGTAAGATTAATCCTGTAAAATTTTGAGATGACATCATCAATTTTTTGGGAGAAGTTAAAAGAATAAATTTTGAATAACGTTTTATCATCATTTAAAACCTTTGCAAAATTTCAGAGTATTCAGTTTTGTAGTATCAAAGTTAAATTATAAAATGTTGTTACACAGTTTTGATTCTTTTTCCAAAAATCTGGATGGGTAAGGTGAAAACTCACCACGAATTTATACATCACAAGTACAAGAGCATCTTATTTTATAAAATTAAAAAATATATATTATTCTAAATTTTGGAGATGACGTCATCCCATTGGTGGTGGGAATGATTAGCCAAATTTTGATGAGCGTTTCACGATATATATGTACATACCAAATTTAAGAACAATCGGCCCACTAGTTGCAGACATATCTTTCTAATAAAAATCCGGACAGACGACAGACAGATAGACAGATGACAGACAGAAACGGGAGACCTGCTTCTTCGTACTGTAGAAGTCATGAAATCTCGAGAAAACATAAAAGTACTTTACTTATTAAAAATCACTATAGTTATAGTTTTTTTTTACATGTATGTGATCCATTAAGTATTTTTTTAATTAAGTAAAGAGATGCTGTACGCCAATATATATTATATTTCATTATGATAATTATTTGAAAGATTAAAAGGGATGCGATATTTTGTTAAATTAGAAAAAGATGACCCATATAGTGAAAGGTCAACCAAAGTATAGCTTTATCTCTTGTCAAAATTGTATGTTTGTTAAGAACAAAATAAAACAGCAAGTTATTTTGTATTAATATTTATTAATATAAAATGTACAATCTGAGTTTCCGGTAATTGTAAGTCCAGAAGTTGTTTATAATGAGGGATTATGGCACTCATGTAATTATGGCACTCGCTACGCTCATTCCTTGTACTATAAATTAATATCATACACTCACTATTAATTAAAAAATTGGTCGAAAGTTGTTTCGACAGAACTTCCATCGCTCCTAAAGTACAATGAAACATATCCAGCATTTTTTTTTAAGTTTTTACTTAACAAAATTGTGAGATGAAGTAATTCATTTTTTGAGGTTGATAAACAGATAGATTTTAAAAAGTTACCATGCTTATAATAACTTCAAAACGTCAAGATTTCAAAGTATTCGGTTTTGCAATTCTTGTTTTAATCAAAAAAATAAATAAATTGACTCAGTCATAAATTTTTTTCAGGCACCCCGTATAAGCAAATCCTAAAAATATTAATGCAGTGATAAATCACAAGTATAGACTCAACATATTTTGTACAATTTAAACAGGATTTATTGGGCAAAATTTTGAGCTGATCATCAAATTTTTAGGGGGGATGAGCAAACACATTTTGATCAAAAATTTACCATGTTTATGATAACCTTAAAACATCTCCAAGATTTCAAAGCATTCGATTTTGTAGTTCCTGATTAAATCAATAAAATAAATTCAAGCATTCATTAATTTTTTTGAGTCGCCCTGTATACGCAAACCCAAAAAATATGAATGGAATGATAAATCATAAGTACAGACTCATCATATTTTGTACAATTTAGATTGGATTTATTCATTATTATTATATAGGAGTATTATTTATTATAAACATTTATCATGCTTGTTGTAACTTCTAAACATCTGCAAGATTTCAAAACGTTCGGTTTTGCAGATTGAAAATTAAATTGCAAAATGTTGTTTTATAATGTTGATTTTTTTTTTCCAAAAGTCTGGACGTTTCGGGTAAAAACTTAATACGGAATCATAAACTACATGTGTAGGACTATGTTATTTCATACAATTTAAAACCCATTTACTACACTCACCAGCATGAAAAACGAGCCAGTTAATATTTTTCTGAGTACAGTGCTTCGACGTTTTTACTATGCTTTGCTTATTTTTGATGTTGTTTCTTGACCAGCATATTAATTGAGTGTACCTGCACCCCACACTTTAGATAAGTTTCAGAATATGCTTTTAAAGGAATGAAAGAATATCCGACAAGAAGAAATAAACAATTTATTTCATGGGACGCCCTGGAGAATGGCAGCAGTCTTACAGGTTCGAGGGGGAAATACACGTTGTTGGCGTCAATGTGTGTCAATGATCATTGATTTTGCTTTTTTGGAAACTTTAATTTTTTTTCAGCTTTGTTTGATTATTGAATTTTTTTCATTTGTATTTAAATAATATATTTTTTAGTTCTTTTTGGATAAAAATACCTACTACATATTTTCGGTTCTTTAAAAAAAAATAAGGATGGCTCATTTTTCGTGCCGCACGTTGACATCATCACATTATTAATAGGGATGATTAGACACATTTTGGTTAGCGTTTTACCATCTACATGATATTCCCAATACAAATACAAAATTTGACAACAATCGATCCAATACTTTCGGAGATTATCTGTCTAATAAAAATTCGGGACGGCAGACAGACGAACAGACGGACAGACAGACGGAAACGAGAAACCTATTTCTTCGACTCTAGGGATCATGGAAGGTCGAGAAAACGTAAAAGTAGACAGTCGGCCAACAGACTCGATTACAATACTTCTTTTGCTTACGCTCAGGAATTAAAAATGATATCTACTAATGGTGTAAGCTGTAACAAACAAAACTGTACAAATTTGTCGTGATCCAAAGGTTAAAGTTATACACAGCCGGACAACGTTTAGGAACCAATCAAATTGTATCTAAATTTGGTTGTTGTAAATATTTAAAACATTGCATAGACTCTAGAATTTTAGACGATTTAAGGTGCACACTTTATAGATTTCTTAGATGGTTGTTTAGGTCACTTTTTTTCTTATTCGCAGTTTTAATTGAATTTAATATCAATGAATGATGTTTTGTTTTTCTCTTTATAATTTCAATAACATCTTGGAAACGAATGGATATATTGAAATTCTGTAAACCTTATTGCTTCTAACTTGAAGGGAAAAACTTAATTTAGTACGTTATGGTTTATAATTATAAATATGACGCACATAGGGCGTCGCTGTCGGGTCTCAAACCTATATTTTTTTAAATTTCAAATAAATTAAATTATGATTACAGTGATATACAATACTTAAATATTTATTTCATTTTTAGTTGCTAAGAAAAAGTAAAATTTATAAACATAAAGAAATGAAAGTTGAGTGAAATAACAGACTTGCTATGCTAAAGAATTTCAAGAAAACCGGAGTAACGTGGCAACTAAAATTATAGTGTTTAAGAAGAGGCCAATCAAAGTTTGTAAAAATCTATAGGATATTTATTATTCAATTAAAAAAAAAATATGTTTCGTCTCAGAGACAGAACACTTTTTACAGTTGGTAAATAATTTTATTTATAGTGTATGTTATTCAAAAAACCAAAAAATTTGGGCTTTTAGTTTTTTAATAAGTATTTCGATATTTCGAATATTTAGTTAATGATGGAGCGTGCGCTTTGGTGACTCATCCTGTGTATATGTATTTTATTTGTCGTACATCTCATTAGTCATTTTATTTTAGAGGATATCCACAAAACAAGTGTCGTTCATTTAACTCGTTTTCAATTTTTATATACTTTTTGTTATTACGAGTAAAAATGAACATGCATCCCTAAATTCAGAAAAAAAACCAAAATATTCGAATACATTACATTCCTGCGCAACCTCAGAAATTTTTGTTAAGGCAAAAAAAAAAATAAACGACACTGGTGCATTTTATACAAGGCAGCTCTATTGTAAAATTTTAATCAATTTCAACAGTTATTTGTGTGCGCACAACACATTCGCATACAGTCACATTCGCACATTCGTATGATGCACAGTACTTTTTGCATCGACGTAAAAAATATTATTAATAAAATTCAAGTAACTACTCCACTATGAACACATGAATTCATTATTTAGGGAAGTTCATTTCTGTATTCTGAACTAACAATTAATTTAAAAAATCCATGAAAATTACATATTAATACAGCTAAGAATTTTAAATGCAGCTGGAGACGGCCGTTGCGTTATAGACAAAGCTAGAAGAAACTGGTGTCCTTATTGCCGATTACAGCGATGCTTTGCAGTCCAAATGAACGTTTCTGGTAAGGTTATCTTTCATAATGCCAAAACTTGCTAATATAAACACTCCTTTATAGCTGTTCAAGAAGAAAGAGGTCCAAGGAAACCAAAAATAACTTCAAAAAAAATTCTACCAGATTTTTCACCATTGAACTCTGAAACTTTCCCGTACAGTTCTCCATCAAGACTTCTTCAGACGGAAACTAACCCAGCTCATGAACTAGCTGCACAAATACTTCTTGTTACCATCAAACAAGCTCGTTGCAATGCAGGATTTGGTCTTTTAAATCGTTTTTCGCAGAACACCATTTTAGGAAATTTGTGGGCCCCATTATTCTTGTTGAGGGCTGCCCACTGGCCGTCGGAAAATGTCAACATGTTTCCTGGTGTTGAGAATACGTTCATAACTATTAAAAAATTAAAATTAGATTCGACAGATTTAGAGCTAGTGGAGAACATTTTACTTTGTAGAACTGATCTTTTAGATGACGTAGAACAAATTGTATTGGCGGAAAATATATTAATGAGAGCTTTAGATGGTTTAGCAATTCGCTCAGCACTAGATAGGAGAAGATTTACGGATGTTCTTTTGGCTTTACCAGTTCTTTTTATACCATCTGCTATCGTACTTCATTCGTTACTATTTAAACCAGTAATTGGTTCTGTTCCTATCGAAACAGTTATATCTACTATTTAACAAAGAGAAACTTCCGTGAAATAAATTAAACACCAGCTATATGTGTCACATGTTTATTATATTTTACTAATACAGTTTAATGGGTAATAAAACTAGTATTTACACATTAATACTACAACATTAAATTACTGCACATATTTACAAATTTTGTTTGGGCGGGGTGCAAACTACAATTTTTGTTAAGTATTTTAGTACGGCATACTACAAAAATCAGTTGATATTTACAGCATGAGGTGTAAAATTATAATGTGTGGTTTTAATAAATGTACTGAGTAATTGTTTTTATTTATCTTAACATTTGTAAAATAGTCTTGTAAACTGCTCAATATGAGCTTTGATAATTTAAACACATGACAATTTTAAATAAAAATTATAAATAATTCTATAAATATTCTACTGTTTGTAGAATTAACGTTTAACCATTGAAAGAAACAAGTCTGTGTATAACATTGCACGCACTTTAACAACATTTTTACATTTAGTAATGTCTCACAAGATCTACATTTAGTAACAAAAAAAAATAAAAACGTTTATTTACTTGTCTTTAATATTTTTCCTCTCAACTTCTGAAATTTAAATAACATCAGATTATGTTTAGTTTATTTAAAAACTGCAGGTCAAAAATTATGGTTTATTATTGTAAACTGTAAAATATTGTACTTCCACAACAGTAGGTAGGTATATTACTTGCAAGTTTAATCGTTTTGAGCCAGCACAATCTTAAAAAACAAATCACTTTGAAAAACAATATAAGAACTTTGTTTAGGTAGCTGTTTTCGTTTTACCAATGAATCTCATATTGATCCAAAGTAAGAAAAAAAAAGTAATTTTTGACTAGCAGTTTAAAAATAATATCGTTCGGCACTATTTAAAACTAATCAAAAATAACAACTCTGTATCATTTCGCAATGACTGTGTTACATTTGAAAAAATGAGAAAATAATGCAGATTCGAAACATTTCCTAGCTCTTAAAGTTGACAAATAATTAAAAAAATCATATATTAATCATAGATAGCTAAGCTTACGACAATTATTGTGTAGGTATAATAATTTAAACAAGTATTTTAAAATAAATATACAAATACTACTTCTACAATCACAAAAATAAATACACTAAGTTTTTAGTGATCACGAAAATAACGAAAAGTCTTAAATACAGGCAAGTAAGTTTTACTGATCTACTAATGACGTGTTCTTGCAATATTGCATGAATAATGAAATGTATGTAGTTATTTCTCAACGATTTTGTTTTCTTGCAATATCTTCAGTTGCTAAAATAATAATAAAACGATTTTATCCTTTGGTTTAAAAATTTTCAAATTCAATTCTTATTAGTTATTACGTTACGTGAATTTTGTAACGAACAGTATTAACCTGAGTATTTCGACAAATTTCAATAAAAAGTTACTTTTAAGCAATCACAAAATCCGTCGTAAAATCATTATCTGTTTATATAAATGCGATTAAATGGCGTTGACTAAGATGAGGCCATTAGTTTAGCCGCTGCTGTAACATGATGTTGGTGGTGATAAGCAACTTCCCCACTGTTATTGGTTGCTCCAGCAAAACCAAATATTTGTTGATAGGGGTATGTAGGCTGATTTTGTATACAATTGTATTCATAACCTGGTTCACTTTTAATGGCACTTGTACTGGTGGCAGGTAGGAGAGATGTTTGGCCCAAATATGGACGATCTACTGGTGACGTTTTGTCGATTTGGTGATTGTGATGATTCTGAGATGGTTGAGACTGGGACGTATGTTGTTGTGCTGACTGATGGACTATTGAAGATTTGTTTTCTGGAATACATTTGACAATTAGTGAAATGGTGGAGGCGCCGGGAAAATAATTTTTTAACTATTTTTATTGATTACTAGATATATACCTAAGTATTCTAACACTAAATTTTCACGAACTGAGAAACGTAATTACAGCTTTAGAGAATTGTTAATTTAATAAACACGGTAAAGTTACAACTCACAAAGTCACTAAATATGCTGTGTCCACTTTTACAATGTTGTAATAACTACAATTTTCGACATTTGTAAAGAAAAAAAAACAAATAGAGCTAATTAACTATTTCACTAATACGAATATATTAGCCTTTATACCTCACATGTTATCACTAAAAACTTAATAATAAATAAAAATATGCGTTCATTTTATTCCTGCTTTATTTCCTTTTCTGTTAAGTGGTTCCATAAATAAAGCAAAATTACAATAATTTATAATTAAGTAATTTCTAATTTTTATTTTTGCTTCAAATGAATTGAATTTGTAATAATATATCCACAACTGACGAACTGGTTTGAAAATTTTATAGTCAGAAACATCCTTCGCGACTGCGAAGGTAATATTGATCCACCATCTATGACGTCACAGATATACTACGTCAACTAAAACATCTAAGGAGGGAAAGTGTAGCAACACGGAACACCTGAGATTTAACGTTCCAATTTTTTTACAGGTAACTAAAAATAAACTTCTTTTTCTTTGAACAATAACAAAAATTGTTCGTAAACAATCAACCGTGTCCGTTCTCTAACCGTTAAACATAATATTTCAGGCTTCAATGAATGCCAGGAACAATATGATCACGTAGGGTGACATCGTCCTTCAATAAGTTAAGGCCAAATACTGCAACAAGGTGTTTTCAATGAATGCCTAATTTCATATTTTTAGAGATTTCACAAATGTTACATTTTATATTTACGATTTTCATTCTCCTTAATTTCCTGTATAATTTTTTCACGGCTTAAATTTTTAATTTCCGATTAGATGGTTTACTGATTTCAGCTTTTATTGTTTAGACTGGGGTTGATTGGGCTGCTGTTGAATTTTCCAGAACGCGTTCGGATTTTGTAAAAGCTATAAAATTGTTATTTAATTTCACCAAATCCCTAGATTAATAGTATAAAAAAAGACATCAACATTATGCCAGAAATGTTTCGATGCAATATTTTATAATATTTTAAATTGTGAAATGTCTCAAGGGATGGAGGTTCTTCCTAAATAATTGGAATTCTAAAATAGTATTTGGCAGTATTCAAGATTTAAATTTTAAAGATTGAGTCGTTTTGGAAATAATCAACGATATAAATGTCCTCGTGGATTCCAAAGGGCAAATGGGATTTTATGCTGATTTTGTGTCATGTTGTGTCAGGTAATTGGATTCACGATGTACTCTTGTTTAATTAATTTTGCTTTATTGAATACGGTTGCCGAGTTCGGCCCAAGTCTAGATTGACAAATTTTTTCTGCCATTCATCTGACTGTTTATTCGCATACCGAATTCCACCAACGCGAGATATGAGGAGGGTGTCCTACTGGTAAAGGAAACTTTATTGGGGGTAGCAGGCGTCAACATTAAGATAGCGGGCGTTTGTGGGGGCACCGCGGCTTGATTGTACATAACTGTGGTTGGTGCAAAGAAGCAGTTCAATGACAGTTTTTTTTTTTTGTCGACCGTCAAAATATAAAAATCTACCATCAGATCACCATAATAATTTGGGCATTGCTTAGCAGTTCCTTTAGATAAGAAATTGCAAACCGAAGCATTGTGTACGTTTAAAAAGAAGCTGTGTTTATGTTATCGAAATTTGTAATCTTACACTTGAAAACATGAAGGGGTTTTGCAGCTGGGAAAATATTCTCGTCAAGCTTATTTCATAGTTTTTGTCCCCTCAAAAAGAGGCACCACTTTGTAGGCCATTTGTTTTGTTGCATAAAATACTAAAGATTTTTTTCAATTCGAATCACTTTTACCAAAATTGAATAAAAGATGTTCCATTTCAGTAGTGACGTGGACTTTCTAGACTCTTCCCGCTCCGCATTGCGCCACTTTGCATCAGAAGATCACAGTTCAAGGTCACTTTTCGAATTTTTCGCGGGTTTTTAAAATTTCGTGGGCATGTCTTAATTTTGGCGGAATATTTGGGTTATTACATTATTAATAATTTATTAGGGATTAGATGCTACATAGAAGTACGTTTACAAAATAATTAAAATTTTAAAGTATTATTTTGCTTGTTGTCAAAAATACTAAACAAATTAGCGCTCATAACAATATTTTGATAGCCAAGTTAAAACATCATTCGAGAATGGTAGTGTTCCGCGCACGTGCTGTATAGAAAATTTTTACTACAGTTGTATTAATTAATTTCTGTTGAGATAACAGACCGATGGTTGTGATTCTTGATTGTTTCTTGTAATGTGAAATTAATGTTGTTTGTCGTTTTCTAAATAAGGTATCAATACAAAAAGAACCAAAATTGATATACCTACAGACTTGACATGTCTAACATCTATTATACACATTAATTTTTAATGAAAATTACCATAAATCCTTAGCTAATAAATGATGCTAAAAAAATTGAAATTACTTAATAAACTATCTCCTTTTATTTTTATTTTGATGTTGATTTCTACACTATAATGGACATAAACTGAAAATAATAATCGGTGGACAAATGTTTTAGTTTATCTTTTATGTTGACATTGTTTTTATTAAATATCTTGTACTTGTTACTTCCTCTGCCTCAAAATACGTGTTCGATTTCTATATTTTTCTGAATAGGTACTACTTAATTTTTAAAAATGAAGAGATTTTGTTTTAAAATGCAGTTGGTGTATGTTTAATGCAACTATTTGTTTAATACAAAAAAAGATTTCAAGGTGATTGTTTGGTAACACTAATACTTTGTTTCTAAACGAATTAAAAAGACTGTTTAAAATACCGGTGTGGTCCTGGAAATAAGACCAATATTGCTCGTTAGGGCATCAACAGTTCCTTCTTAAGGTAAATGTATAAATGAAGAAAACTGTTAGTCGAATTTAACATTAAAGACGACAGTTTTTTTTGCAAGGTTTTATTAATGAATGCGGACGTGAAAAAGAAAAGATGGAAGAGTCAGACGGAAGCAACGAATCGTAGATTTGGTTATGATAAGAAATGTCCCTTCACATCGTCACAGAAATACTCATTCGATGGCATATGCCATCCAAATTTCAAAATCTGCAGTTCAGCGGTGCATTAAAGCCAAAGAAATTAAATCACATTTTACAATATGTCTCACAGAGTCAAGATAAGATAATTCAACGATTACAATACTGCATATCAATGCTGAACCGAGAATAGTTATGTGATAACGTGATAACACAAGACCGGAAAACACAAATGTTTGCGAGTGATACTGCAGATTCGAAACGTTAGTCGAAGCGGAGCAACATGAGTAAAGTACTTCTAAAGATATTTGGAAACAGAGTTAATCACTTTATGACTGTCTTTGGTCCCTGGTCAACCTTCAACTGCCAGCTTAATCCCCATAAAAGTACCCGAGTAATCTGCTTTTTCGAGATTGATTTCCAGAACCATATTTACTTATTTCGTTAGAAAGATTAAGTACTTACTTATTGTTAAAAGTTTAAATAATAATTTAACTTCAAATAATTCTTATTAATCATTCTAAATTTGTAAATAAAAGAATCGTTAATACCTCGGTAGCTGTCAGATGAAAGGAGTGTTTCGCTCTGATCAGTCAAAAGTGGTGAAAATAACTAAATAGTGGAGACCGTGGATGGAAGTAAATGCCGAAGAAATCGGAGCCGTAGGTAAATGTTGACAATGAATAAATGAATTTCGAGGATGAAGCAGCAGTGGATTTTGAATAATCATGAAGAGAATTTCGAAATTAACAACGGGGGTGTGTGAGAAGAAAAATTAATTGAAACAACAGCCGAATATACAAAAACACATATAACATATATCTGTTGGGCGAATTGTAAAATCGGGTTTTGCAATAAGATAGGAAAGAGTGGATGAGGGAGTCGCTCGAAAACTGAAAGTAGAAGAACATACGTACGCTGTAAGAAAAATCATTTATGATGGACACAAAAATAATTACGTGCCGACAGTAAAATGTATTCAAGAAAAAATTGCAGAGTTTACTGAGTGTTGCCTTGACGCAATTCGAACATCGCTAGGAAAAATTGGATTTGATTATAACACTGAATAAAAGCCCTGTAATGAAAGAATCAAAAGCAATAAGTGAATCGCGGTATAAGTCTATAAGTCTCTTCGTGAAATTCAGGGAAGAGGGTGGAAGCATTATTTTTCTCGATGAAACATGGTACGATTCGCATGGCGTGTTAAAAAAGGATTTGTTAACAACAGTTCAAATGTGTTTTAAATCTGCCCCAACCGAGACTTCAGGGGATAATAATTTTACACGCCGAATCAAAACAAGGTTTTGTTCCGGAAGCACTGTGTCTTTCCGGGAAAAACATAAAGTATGCGAAAGAGTGGTTTTCCACTAAACTTCTTTCAAATTTGTCAGCCTGCAGCGTAGTTGTAATGGATAATGCAAGCTATCATTCCGTTCAGCAAGAAAAAATAACAAATCTCTTGAAGAAAATGATTTTATATTACGAAGATCACTATAACAAAAAACAACTTCTAGAAGTTCTTCACACGAAAGAATTTAACAAAAGCTGTGTCATCGACAAGGAGGCCTCGAGACATGGTCATTATGTTCTGCGGTTACCTCCTTATTACTGCGAGCTTAACCCGATTGAAATGATGTGGTCCATATTAAAATCAAGAATACGTCGAAATAACAACAATCCAAAATTTAGTGCCACTGCCATCGACGTAATTAGGAATCAAGTAAAAACAATTGGTCAAAATGAGTGGTTTAATTGCGTTGAAAAAGTCGTTTCAATGAAAGAATAATACGGGAAACGAGAAGTCAGTGAACTTGTTATACTTATATTTCGATCACAGCAGCGACGAAAAAGGCAATGGATATTTTATTATTTTATTTTTATTACTGCGGCGCGGGACTTTGAAACATGTATCGTAGGGGCATTTATATTCCACAAAGAGTACAATAAAAGTGTTTAACTCTGTTTCCAAATCTTTAGAAACACTTTACCCCAGTTTTTCCTGATAACATTCTTGAACCCATATTTTATCAGAGCTATATCACAGTTTTTTATTTTTAAAAACTCCACACTGATCAAAAGTAGGTATACTTTAAAAAAACATCTTGCAGAGTCAATATTCGCAATATCAAAATATGTTGGGCGTAATTTTATAATTTCATTTATAATTAATCGTAAATTGCAAAAAAAATATAGGTACCTATATACGTGTTACCTGAAACCAATCTTTCTTTGAACAATATAACAGAGTTCATTAGTGGACATATTGGTAAGCACTAAAAATGAACTATCTACCTATACCTACACCTCCAAGTGCCGTTTTTAACATACAAAAATTACTTTTTGCAGAATAAGTAGGTATACCTATGATTACAATTATACAGGTTATGATAAAGTAATGCACAAAATTTATAAAAAACGCAGTATTTGTTTTTGAAAAAACTGCAAAAAAATGTCAAGCTTTGACATACCTATGTCAAAAAAATTATGCGTCAAATTTGTAAAAGTTATGGCGTCATCAATGATTTTTTTTAAATGAGATAATAATTTTGATTGGATTATTTGTTGAAGCTTATTTTTCTGCATATGAAAATATAGTTTGAAGTAGGGATTGCATAACAAAAAACTTGAGAAATTAATAACAAACAAAATAAACTTGATTTGAATGATAAATACGAGACTCGTGTTATGATATCAGCATAAGTCCACAATGGACAATCATTCTGCAGACCCATATCCTGCCACATGCAAGATGCGCTTCCACACTTGCATCAATATCAACATGAGAACTTCAATTCTGCAGTTTTCCTCCTTATAAAAGGCATTGGAATAATTCATTTTTCAGTTCAGAAGCATCCGCCATCCGCGTAACAAGTTCAGAAGCATCCGTCATCCGCGTAACTAAGAAGCCGCCGCCGCGTAGTTTATAAGCCCGTCATAATCGCGATCTCCCAATAAGTTGTAATAATTTAAGTGAATAATTGTGAAGTAGAATTAAGTGAATAATCAAGTAATTGTGAATAATCAATCAATATAAAATAATCCAATAATTAATAATCAAGTGTAATAATAAAATTTGTGAATAAAAGAAAAGTTCTTTTTAAAAACAAGTTTATTAAACCAATAAACTTAACTCTCGTATTTATTGTTTTATTGTTTATTTAATACTCAGTATTAAATAAACAGAACAATCCGTTGTGTTAAGTGGCCATTCTATTGGTCCACGCGTTCCAGTGCACCTTCCATCAAATTGATTATCCAAAAAAAATCCTTACATTTAGGTACGCCATAATGTGGTGGTGCCCCATCTTGTTGAAACCAAATCCTGCGATCTAAATTTTGTGGACTATCTGGATCAGGAAACGTAGCAATTAGATCCGGAAGCACTACGGTTCTAAGATGATCTACATGTCGATCTACTGTTAAATTTCCGTAAAAAAATGGGGGCCAATGAATGTTCTCTTTATTAACGCCACACAAACATTAATTTTTTGGGGACGTTGGATGTGGGACGCTTGGACCCAATGAGGTTGTTCTGGAGCCCAGAAACGATAATTGAGTTGATTTACGATACCAAAAAAAAACTTTACCATAAACGACTGGCTAACATTTTCTTGTAAAGCTATTTCCGTCGTTGTTACATGGGGGTTGACTTCGAATGATAACAAGAGATTCAACTTGGTGTTATCGTTTAAGTATTTGAGTGGCCTTCCATATCTTGGAACATCTCTCATGTTTCCTGTTTGATTAAATTTTGCAACAATTCTGCTGATTGTGCTTATAGTGATTGGAGGTCGTTCAAAATGTACTTCGTTGAACAAATCACACACACTTCTTCGTGGCTTCGAAGTCTACCGCCATAACCTACTATCATTAGGACTTCTGCACGTTCTTTTTGGGTTAAACGAGCCATTATTATGCGACTTTGACAGAAGTATGTATAGACAAACAAAACACATTTGTTTACAAATCACAAACTACCGGATTATATATAACACACACAACTAAAAAGTATTCTTTATTTTATTAAACCAACTTAAGAAAATGACAAAAGCGATTCTCTTTGTCAGATTTTTGTTTTAATTTTTAGTTATTTGAATTTTATTTTGTTTCATGTTCATATTCTGGTTATTTCGTTTGTTATTAATTTTCTGCATTTTTTTTAATTATGCGACTCCTACATCAAGCTACATTTTCATATATAGAAAAATAAGCTTTATCAAATAATCTAATCAAAATTATAGCGTCTCATTTAAAAAAAATCATTGATGACGTCATAGCTTTACAAGTTTGATGGATTTTTTTTGATATATGTATGTCAAAAGATGGAGAGTAAAATGAAAGGCTTGACATGTTTTTGTATTTTTTTTTTTCAAATCCTGCGCTTTTTATGAATTTTGTGCATTATTTTGTCATAACCCTAGATATAGTGTCATATAGAAACTTTTCTTTAAAAATCTAATTTGGAGCTAGAGGTTAGTAACACTTATGATACTACTCTTACATAAGAACATATTTTACGTATTATGCCGCACGTCATTAAATTTGAGTCTCATATTCATATCTTTATAAATAAGCAAACTACGGCCTGTTAAACAATATCATGTACGACTGGTAGATGCATACATAGTAGTTTTCAAACAATTTGATGACTCAGTGAGATGGAACGCCCGCCATCTGTTTGTACCGTAAAGGCTTTCGTTTTTCACTTGTGTAGTAAATGAATTGCGCTGATAAAATCAGCTAGCATATTTTTTTTGCACGTCACGCAATTTCTCAACGCAAAACGTCAGTGAACATCGTAGGTGGTAACAAAAAAAATCGTTATTATTATGCCACATCTCTTTGCGCTCTATCAGGACCACATAAAGGAGAAAAAGTGCGTATACGTGCGTAGACGTCTCATTATCATACCAGAATTCATTACCGGCCTAAACCAATGATCGAGTATGGGCGTTACCTACCTTCAACCGAGGCGGAGCTACTGTCATCACGCTCCCCACCAATCGGCTTTTTTGGTTTGCGTTTGCGCGTCTGAATGCCGTCCTTCCTCATGGCTAAAGGTCGATTCACGCCGTGTAGCTTGAAGTATAACCCACAGGCGTTGCAGACCGGCTCCCCGTCGTTGTTCCGACGCCACAGTGTCGTCGTCCGCGTTCCGCAATTCGTGCAGCAGAGGCCTAACCTTCGGGTTGCCGTCTGAAATGAAAAATCCTATCAACAATTCCTAGGTTTATCTACAATGGAAATGGTTCGACTTGGGGATTTGCAGATCGGGTTGTGAATATTTAGCAGCTTACCAGTCGTTTTGAAGGTTTGATTAGAGGTCTATTCATGCCGTTCATTTTGTGATACAGCCCACAGGCATTGCACAAGTAGTGTCCCGTGCCATCGCGACGCCACAGAGGCGTCGAAATGGCTCCACAGTTAACGCACTCTCGTCCTTCGCCAAACTGAAACTCCATTGCACCATCTGAAAAAAAAAAAACAAACGAAATTAATGTAAAATATGGACGTATCTAGTAGCGGTCAGTTACTTGTCGTCATACAGGGTCGCGAAAAAGTTTGGAAGCAGTTGAATATTGCGACAACATTTTGCTGAATCTTTTTGAAATTATCTACTTATCATAGTCCAGACGTAGGACACCTTATTCAAACATTATACTAGTGCCCAATCATTGTAAAAATGATAGAACTTAAGGTACATACATAAACTGAAATAAAGGTGCCAGCGAAACAGACTGATTTAAATTCTGTTTCCAAATAATTTACAACTTATATTCTAGAAATAACAATACTCCACTTTAATGATTGTAAATAGTGCATACATTGATATGCAAGTTTTTTGAAAAAATTAAATAAAAAATTACATTATTGAAAAAGATCGAATTAACATTTAAAAAACAATAATTTTACAACAAATGTTCGAAATGTTCTCCATTTACTTCATGGCAATAGTAAATACGTTGCACAAACTTTTCAAATGAATCTGTTAGAATATTAGGAGGAATATCAGCAATCACATTTAATATTATTTCTTGGAGTTCTCCGATGCTTTATGGTTTACTAACATAAACTCGATTTTTTACATAACCCCACAGAAAAAAATCAAAGGGAGTTAAATCGGGTGACCTAGCTGACCACTCAACTGCTCCCCTTAGTCCTATCTACCCTTCAGGAAAAGTTTAATTCAAGTAATGCCGTACATGACGTTCGAAGTGACGTGGTGCTTCATCTTGTTGGAACCAGATAAATTTGAAGTTTCATAGCTGGGAAAGATTTGTCGTAAGTCACGGAATAGTACTTTGCTCCATAAGTTAGAGGTATTTGTCGGACGTTAAATTTCCGTTAATGAATAAGTGGCTTACAATATGGCTACCAATAATATCGCACCAAACATTAATTTTTTGGGGTACCTACTGTACTTACCTATATGAACTGAACCACCTCCATCCAGTGTGAATATGTATTAGATCAGTATCTACAGTTATGGTCTATGGTGATTAGAATGCTCATTCAAACAAAAAGTAAACTCATCAGAAAATAATAATTAGTTTATGAAGTTGCCATCCTGATCTAGTCTGCCTGCCATTATTTCGCAAAATTCGATTCTGCGGTGAAATTCATCCGCAATCAATTCTTGTAGTAAGTAAATGAATTTTGTTTGGATGATATTTTTCCCGTTTGAGTATTGTGGTTTAATACCAATTCATGCACTAAAGTTTTTGGATTTTCAGTTACATCTAACATGATATTAACAGAGTTGCAACATTTTTTGGTCTTCTGATTCTTTGACGATGTCTAACATTACCAGTTTTGTCAAATCTGCGCAATCTTTTTGAAACCGTCGATCTAGAGATTTGTTCTCAATTGGAATCAGTTTAATTAAAAAGTGCTGCTACTTCGACGTCTCTCGCCATAACCTATCATCGTCAAGATTTCTATTCGTTCCGTTTCTGTTAATGGTACCATTGTAGTGTTCTATTGAAATATTTTTAAACTCTGATGTAGAAGTTTGCTTTTCAGTATAGACCGACAAATCGGTGACAGTATTTTCAAAGCTAACTGCAATTTTCTGTTTTAGAATTTATTCATAACAAATAATTTATCGTTTTATTTGCCGTTTTAGTTAAAAAAGTGTATAGTGAATTCAGGAAAAAAATTCTATTCAAAAATTGACTATTTGACTATTAGTGCTATTTAAAAAAAATCTACAGAAAATTTACAGAAAATAGAGCTTGAATATTTTTAAGTATGGCTCAAATTTCAAGAAGATCTAACTGACCATTCCCGAGATATTCAATTGTCTCCAAACTTTTTAGCAACCCTGTACATAGGTATATGCACTTAAGTACTGAAGATCTTGTGAGATCTTTGTCAAATCACGATAGGTACCTACAAGTTTTCCAGAAAATCTGTAGATGTAAAGTGAACAGAAATTTAGTTGTATAACGTTAATACACTAAAATTACAAAGTTTATCAATTCTGCTTTTGTCTGTTTAAGATCTATTTTTTTAATCCGTAGGTCTATTTACTTTTACATAGTTATAATATCTTTGAAGTGTTATTTTTTACCGTTTTATTTTCTAGATTTAATTTCTCATGTTGTTCAACTGTGTTGAAAGAAGTAGGTATATACAGTCTCTCGTTTAAGTTTAAATGTAACAAACAGAAACTGTTGTAACATCGATCCTTCGGTCAATTTATCGGTCTACATTTTTCCTCTCGTAATACTCAATCTCTCTGCCCTTGTGTATACTTCACTGTATTAACTTTCTGCATTCAAAGTTAGTTTCTTTATTTGGTTTGCAGAAATATGGACATACACCTCTATTAATTACACCATTAATGGTCGTTAAGATTTTGTGGTAGTTAAGTACTGACATGTGTTTTAATTTTCACTTAGAAAGGTTATATAAGCGACTTTACTTTTACTTGCACTGTGGTAGTAGTAGAAACACTTTGATGCATAATTATTAGTTATGTTTGTGTTACCTCAACATAAAATTCGAAAGTGCTGTTTTTGTATGTCTGTCGTCTAGTTCGATGGTGTAAATATTTGAAGTGGTAATATCTGACACTAACCGTACTTATTATTATTACCTAATCGATAATTTGGACGAAAAATGGTACGATCAAGAATGTACGAGGGAAATTTAACAGCTATATCAATAAAAACAAGATTATTATGACTTGTTATAAGTTTAAAATATAAATATCGGGGTTTAATAGGAGATCATGTTAAAATAAAAGTCCTGGAGAGAATGAGATACATCTATCCAAATGCAGAATACATAACATATGGAGAAGAAAGAATTTTGTGAGGGATATATAAGATTATCTTGGAAATCTGGAAGCAGGAGAAGATGCCAAAGAGCTGGAAATGAACGAATACCCTAGTATTCTTGAGAAGCGGCAGCCCGTCAATTTGTAGTAATAAGAAGGCAATATAGATGATAGACGATTTATAAAGATAGGTATTAATAACGATTATAAAAGTCAACTTAAAATCAATTATACAGGGTTTTGATAAGTATTTCCTACATCCACATAACCTATACCTAGTTATGATAGACATTTGAACTTTTTGTTGTCATGGAAATGGTTAGAATTTGTCATACTCTGAAAGAAACGGAACAAATCAGTGTCCACCTGGATATTAGAATCATTTATGGAAGCCCTGTATGTGCAAATATTGGGGAATAAGTATATAAGCGGGCTTTGGAAAAGGAAGAAATACGTGTGACAGATAAAAGAAACTTTGATAACACGCTATGAGTATAATATAACTACTATAGCAACGATGTTGTTCATAAAATTTAAAAAGATATATGAGTATGAAAATACTGTTTTAGTGTTTTATTAATATTATGAAACAAGTTCAAATATCTGAGTAAGGCCCGGTATTTCAGTTGTTGGTTAAAATCGTAGTTAACAAACCATGGTTACGCTTTTACGAAAACGTTAACCAAGAACCGGGATTTCAGTAGCGAAATTTTGGTTAAGTATATCTTGGTTATCTAACCAACATTTTTCTTAAGTTGGTAGAATTATTGGTCTTACCAGTTCAAAGGAGCATGCGTAAGAGTCTAGATACTCCTATAATCTTTCATATTTTGAACGATTAAACGGCATATACAGACATGATACGGACTGTTGACTATTTTTAACCTCACTTTTGTCTTATATACGTTTTTTCCCGTGTAAAAAGTTATATTTTAAGCAGTGGCGGCTCGTCAGATGAGGCAAGTGAGGCGGCGCCTCACAGCATATACAGGGCTTTCATAAATGATTCTAAGGGCGTAGTTGGCCATGGATTTCAAAAATGCCGCTTTGCTGAAATTGTCTCATTTGACAGTTCTCACTTGTCATTGTGCTTGTCATTTGTAACCTGTCACTTAAAATCATCGCTTTTATTGTTCTACCACTTTCCAAGTGTGATTTACAGTAATTCTCGTTGATCCAAGTTTAAAACAACAAAATAGCCTTTCTCAAGGCTCTTGGTGCTTGCGTGCGAAAACTTTGTGCTCGAAGCGAAGACCGTGAAAATGGTTTATTCGGTTGAGCAAAACACTTTCATCGTTATGTCTTATTATCGCAATGGGACATTCGTAGACGGAGCGTGGCTGTATTCTGTAGCCGCTTGTAAGCAAGAATATCTGGCCAATTACCCTGATTTGGAAATTCAAGAAACATCATTCGAGGCTCACATTAGAGTTGTCATCAACAGATTTGTTCGCACTGGCAATGTCAACAAAGGGAAATCTTCTGGGAGACCTGCAGTATCTGAGGAAGTTGTTGATGATTTGAGAGAAAGACTCGAGTAGAATCCCCAAACATCTTTGACAAGATTATCTCAACAGTCAGGAGTTCCCGTAACCACATGTCACAAAGTAGTGAAAAAACGATTGCATATGCATCCTTACAAAATAACTACTGTGCAACAACTTTTACCAATAGATCCTCCACGCCGCGTAGAATATTGCAATTGGTTTCAGAATACTTTTCATGATGACGGGTTACTGGACCTTACATTTTTTAGTGATGAAGCATGGTTTCATTTATCTGGCTATGTCAATTCGCAAAATTTTAGAATTTGGTCCGCGGAAAATCCACATGTTTTTGTAGAGACGTTTAACCACAATAAATTTGCTTGTTTATTCCATTATGAATTATTTTTATTTTTAACAACAAATTGACTATCAAGAATGTTGGAGTTCCGCGCATGAGGGTAACAAATTACGCCTGCGTAATTTCAAATGTTCAAATTCTATGTGGGTGACCTAATTTTGCATTGAAACGAATCTGTACGCAAAAAAAAACAACAAAAATCAAAAACTAGTCTTTAAAATTAGCAACGAAAGTATATTTTGAAGCTTGATACTTAAAATGAAATCACACTACGTTCTAAATACCTATTTATTATGTACAATAAAATTTTTGATAGAACTGAATGAAATCTCAAACCGTAA